CCCCATTTGATAAAAAGTACACGCAATAATTTATATAAACACCGTACACAATTTGGAATGAACAAAGTTGCATCATGGACTCACATTGTAGAATTTTACAATAGAGACAGTAAACAATGGATAAAAACCGCTCCAAAATTATCAAAAAATCACATTGAACTAACCAATTTTCAGAAAATGAAAGTTAAATATGCCGTTCAAGTTTTTAGTAATCGCGTAGCTGCAGGCATGTGTACACAAATGTCCTTCGGTTTTCTTCCAAGTGAAGCAGTAGGAACAATAGATTTTATAGATCATTTTGACAAGCTATTTGACGTTCTAAATTTGTCTGCAATAAATAATCCTAAGGAATATGGAAAAGTATTTACAGGTAGCGAAAAACAAATTCAATTTTTGGAAGAAATAATTATTTTTTTAAAAACTATTACTGTAATTGATGAAAATGATGAACCGATTACAGTTAAGTGTTTTAAATGCTGGCAAATAACGATCAGAAGTATAATGCTACTTTGGGAGAAATTAAAATGTCATGATTTTCCATATTTACGCACACGAAGAATAAATCAAGACTGCCTAGAAAATTTCTTTGGTTCCATCAGGCAACAGAGCGGTAATTGTTTGAATCCGACAGCGATACAATTTATTCGCGCTTTTAAAAAATTGTTTAGCATGAAAATTTTACAGCATACAGATACGCAAAATTATGCTGCAGACACTGATAGAATGTTAAATTTATTTGGAGCATCATGTTCGAATTCTATCACGAATCCATCACCTTCTGTGTTCATTCCATCTTCAATCACATGTGTACGTCCGATATTAGATATTCCAAATCACGATTATTATAATATGGAATTGCCGGAAAAAAATGCATTTAGATATGTATGCGGATACTTAATAAAAAAATGTTTACGAATACATACATGTGAAACGTGTACTAGTTATCTTAATGAAAACAAGACTGTAATAGATGATACTAGTTTATATTGTTCTTTTCGAGCTTTTGTTACCACCGAGGAAAATCAAATTGGAAATTTACATGTAGCAAGTTATAATTTTTGCTCTTATATTTACAAATTAGAAAAGGTATTTGTCACTAATTTTGAAAATAATTGTTTCCAAAAAAATATTGGTAATCATTTATTTCAACTTGCTCAGATTGTACCTTTCGATGCACCGTGTCCAAATTTTCCTCAAGTATATTTAATTAAATTATTTATATGCATGCGTATATATTATTTTACTTTATCCCAACATAATAAGGAAAGTGGTAAAAGTGTTAACAAAAAAAATAGGAAACTGTGCAATATCTTAAATTTATAACTTTTCTCTCTTATCTTTTCTAGCATGCATGTAGTCTTGTTTTTACTAGTCTCGTTATTCTTCCGATCAGTTTTATGTATATTTATGTACGGTGTTAATTATTAAATATAAGTGTGTTAATTATAGTATAAGAATTTTTCTCTCTTGCTTTTTCTCTTTGGTCGTACCGAGATGGATCGAGTAGCTGAGGTGCGGACAAATGATTGAAAGTTGGGAGAGAATGATTGAAAATGTTGTGGTATAGAAGTTATGTGCATGTATGCCATGTAATTCTGTCAATATTTCTATTTTATGATGTATTTCTATGTGCGTGTTATAACTATATGTTAATAAAATGTCAGATAAGATATATTCGTATTTTTTTAAATTTGGAATCTGTATAATATTTTGTTTATTATACAAATAGGTGTCTAGGTTTCTCGGATGGTCTCAAATCCTATTTGACCACGTTGCGATTGACTATGCAACTACTTGAACAGGGGCGGGTATTTGGAATTTTTTCATCGGATCAACTAACCAGATAATATTACATTACCTGATTAACAACGTGGGCAATCGGATCCCACGTGTTTTTGTGCCATAAATTAATTAAAATAACTGCATAAATAGTAAATAATAAAATTGTTAAGAAAATGCATTATTTCCCATTGTATATGTCTCTTACGTATCAATTTTACATATAAGCAATATTACATATTTTACATATAATAAAATAATAAGAGAAAAATTATGAATAAAAGAAAAATTGAAATAGAAGTTTAGTGACATGACTTGTGAGTGTATGTGTGTCTTTTCTTTGTAGCCTAATAAGTGTATGTACATTTGTTGCACTAAAAACAAAATAGGCAATTTTAGTGCAGTCCAGTGCAGATACAGACAGCAGGTCTGTGATTGGTTACACCCTAAGCTCGCGCATGTGCAGTTTATTTTCTTACACGCCGACATCAAAGATACCGACAGGGAATTGCGCTACTATCGCGTATCGAACGCGATCTACGCTGCTTTTGCGTGCGAGCGATCCGAGCGTGCGGACGATCCGCGAGAGAGAGCGAGCGAGAGAAAGCGAGCGATTCCGAGAGAGAGAGAGAGAGAGCGAGAGAGGACGATCAGCTGCCGGCCCGGACCTGATTTCGAGGAAGTCAAGAAGGAGATCGTGCCGGTGAGGTGACCCTCTGTTTCTGAGCGTTGTAAAGCCACAGGCGGATCGAGGATCCCGCTCGCACTCTGCGGACGAAAACGCCATTTTCGTGTTAGAGTCTCGTCGCGTGTGCCCCTTTGGCGACGCATATTTTGTAGCTTTTTTTTTGTTTTGGCGTGTCGGCGTCCGTCCTCAAGTGCGAGGGTTCTTACCGGATCTTGCCGTGGGCTATCGGAAGTATCGTGTATCGCGTATTGAGCCACCCGGAGATCGTCAACGCGACTGTGCCGCAAAGCCCTCGCGCACGAGTGCGTGAGCGTTAACGTAAGTGCGCGAGTACTCGAATCGCGAGTATTCATCGTCATAATGTATTGTGATATCGTGCGCGATTCCGTCGCGTATCGACGTAAGCAACTTTCTGTTCGTTTTTCGTCTCCGTATGCGCGTCCGACGTGTGAGCCTATTATCGAGATTATTGGTCGCGCTTGTCGTTGTAAGAACTCGGTACTCGCGTCGTACCGAGCGACATTCTTTATTGTACTACCGTGCCGTCTCGTCTTGATTGCGTTCTCATATACCGGTCGAATTTCGTTACCAGTTTCTTTTCTTTCTTAAACCGGAAATTATCTTGCCGCCGGATTACCTGCGTTTAATAACGCCAAATCAGTCTTTTCTTTTTTGTTAATTTTTTTTGCTATTACCGAACTGT